ACCCCATAGGGCTAGAGCACTCTCTGGGCGGTTTACGAGAGAATTTTGTTCCGTAATGAACAGGGACCCTCTTTTACCAACCTCGTTAGGCGGGAAGGCGGTGTTTATCTAAGGTCCCCAGCCAGCATAGATTCCAGGCTCCACTGCTGTTTTTGAGTTTGTGGACTACGGCACCCAGAATTCCTCAGGTGGCCTAGATAATTGATGAATCCTGGGTGATGTAGTCCATGGAATTGCACAGAAGACCAGAGGCCTAACCTGGGGGGTCAGGGGGTCAGGGCAAGCAGGGTTGTTGACCTAAGGCGTCGAAATTCAGAGGGTGCCTAAATTTGCTGCTAGAAGGGTGTGAACTTGCCCGTTGGCCTTTGTGGCTAGGAAAGGGTGGAGCCCACACTCACCTGCACACCGGGGGGGGCACGTATCCAGCCACACCTCCCTCAAGCAGAAGGGAGCACAACACAAAGTAAATGTACTGCTGGTCCTACATGGCCGTGGGACACTCCGCCGGTCATTTCTCCACCCTCTCCCTTGCCTATGCCCAGCTACATGACCTACCTTTGTGGAAAAACAACTTATGCCTAAGACAGTTCCAAAGGCCACACTGGAGGACCCCATATATTTGTGGCAGATCCATTCCACCATCTACCGTGAACGCCCGAAACCCTACATACAACATACGAGGGAGGCAGGAGAAAGGCCACAAGACCCACCTCCTTTTATGTTGTGAATCGGGTTGTAGTCAACTGCTGATAACTGAAACCCAGACCCCGCAGATCATAGAATTGTGAAATTGGAAGGGCCCTCGAAGGCCATCAAGTCCAACCCCCTGCTCAAGGCAGGAATCCAAATCAAAGCATGACTTTGTCTTAAGCTTCTCTTGAATGCTTCCGGTGTTGGAGCGTTCACTACCTGTCAAGGTCATGACATCCATTGTCCTCCTGCTCTAACAGTTAGGAAGATTTTTTCATTATATTCACCCAAAATCTGGCTTCCTGTAACTTGAGTTCAGGGGCCTGCTGGACTTTCAGGCACTGAAGGGTCTCCTGACTCAACCTTGTCTTCTCCATTCAGGTGTACCTTCTCCATTGCCCACTGTTTTTAGAGGAGAAAATAATTCAGTTCCCACAAACTGCCTCTGGTCAAGCTGCTTAATTCCAACCTGGCGCCCTCCGAATGTGTTGGACAACAATTCCAATCCTCCCCAGCCAGCTGAGCCAATGACAGTGCCTGCTGAGACTTGGAGTCGTCTCCCGGAACAGTGGTGGTCAACCTTGACTTCTCCAGATGTTCTCAGACTGCAGACGCCTTCACGAGGCTGCCCAGGATTTCTAGGAGCTGCAGTCCCAAGAACATCTGGAGACCCCAGGATGGGAACCACCGGATTCTGGGGAGGAAGGCTCCTTTATAGGCTGGGGGCACCGTGGAGACGGGTTGGCTTTTCATGGTGTTTGAATGACCAGCCTTCTCCCCGACTCTCCAATTTTGTTCCTCCTGCAGGAGCCGAGATCGCCGAAGCCAGGACGTCGCAAACCTGCTACATGATGGGCTTTCGGGAGTGCCTCCTGGGCCTGGCGGCCTTCATCCAACAAGCTCACCCATCCGTCCAAAGCCACCTGCTGGATACGTTGCATCTCTACCTCACCTCCAAGCCGGAACCTCAGGTCCAAGACTGGAGCTACCCAGGTTTCTCTCCGAGTCCTTCCTGGGAGGGGTCGTCCCCCAGAACTCCTGAAGCCTTCTGCTCTCCCCAGAAGAAACTGGAGGAACCCTTACGGAGCCCGGATTCCCCTTCCTCTAGCACGGGACAACTCGGGAGTCAGCAGAGAGACACCCACCAGAGCGCCGGTTCGACCAAAAGGATGCCCCCCCCACCAGCTTTTTTCTGGCGGCCCTGGCCCTAGGCTCGAGGGCGTAAACACTCTTTCCTCACCTCCGCCCAAACTTTTTGTACATAAATAATAACCACCCTTTTTTTAAGCCACGCTCTGGGATTACAGACAGGGGACTTTACAATGTATATTATAAGAATGTACCCTCTCCCCCCTCCTTATCTCAAGTCTAGCACTCTTCTTTCTGAGAAAGATAGATGAGCCAAAATCCGGTTCAGCAAATTATGCCAGTTTAAAAGTGATGAGGTCACTGGGTAGGAGCAGATTGTCAATCGTAGGTAAAAGAGTTCCTGCTTTGATTTTGGAGCTCACCCAACTTGCGCACAATAAGACCGATAGTGGGCGACTTGAGCGCAAGTCATGCCATCCCTGGGATTAAAGCAGTCAGTCTTTAATTACTGTCCATCTCCCCTGCTGATCATATCACCACTCTTAGGCAGGCATAATTTACTCATCAGGGGTTTTGCCAGCATTTCTTAGGGACTAGTAACTTGAGCCTCCACCCCAGTGATTCAGTAGTACCTAACTCTAGTGGTGGGTATTTCTGCTTGCTATTTTTTAAAAAAGTTAGGTTAAGCCCCCTTCCCCTGCAATATAGAAGCCATGCTTTTTAAATCTGCATTTTGGACTCCAGAGTGGTCTTTACAGGTAAGTAAAGGATTGCTTATTGCCTGTTTATTTCTTGACTGAGATTTTGGGCCTATTTGCAACAACTGCACAGTATGGAGAAATCAAGAGACTGCGGCTTCTCCCAGCACCCCCATGCTATGCAATGGGGAAATGCTGGAGTCATAAGAGGTTGGCAGTCTGTAGGATGGGAGACAAAGGAGAATTATCACATTTAATCCTGGTAAGCAAGTAACCCTTTTTTTTGGTGGGGGGGGGTTCCTGTATAGATAAATCCCTCCCTACCCCACCCCACCCCAGTAAACCTTACTTCTATGAATGTGCTTTTATTGGGACACCGAAGGCAACATCCTAACAGACTCTGCTATAAACTCTATAAAGGACCTGTCATGCTAAAATAAATCTGTTAGTTTTAAAGGTTCGACTTGGCTCTTTGTTATATCGCTAAAGCAGAATGGGGCCCTTCGGTGCATTTATTCCAGTTAATGGGCAGAGCTGATTTGATCAGTATTTCTCCAACCATTACCCCCACAACATTCCCCCGTCTTGCTTAGTAGGTTGACTTCTTCTATGACCGCTGGCGCTTTTCCCTTCATTCCCGGAAACACGGTTCACTTCTCATTTCAGAGAAATGAGTTTAGCGCTATGACACTTCTCACTGAAGTCCGTGTCCATGGTCAGAGTCTTCTGGTCAGAAGCTTTCAGTTAGAGCTCAGATCAACACAAAGTTACATGGAAAGAAAATTTCCAGTGAGAGATTTAAAAAAATTTTTTAGGAGATTTCCTAAAGGCAAATGGTTTTCTTACAGAGAAGCGAAGCTGATTTTAAAAGGGAAGCCAAATGCTAGTCCTGATAAATCCTGTTTACCCTTACAACTAAGTAAAAGAAAAGAGGGCAGAACTGTAACTATATCTGAAACATCTCTTAACATGGCTAGAAATCTTGATTTCCGTATATTAGCAAATATATCATATTTCCTATAGAATAAAATTTGCTTTGGGATGTGTAAGAGATTGACAGTGTGCTTGAATATCTGACTATTTTCAAATGTATATTTTTCATTGATGAATTATATTTGCTTGAGGCAAAATGTAACTATCCTGTTTTTAACTGCTAAAACAGGATGTTTACATTTTGCTTCATACAAATATATTATGACTGTATATATTTTAGGAAAGCAAATAAATCCGTCTACCTCTGTTTCTTTTAAATAGTTTAATTTCTCTGTTTCTTCTGTCCAGACTTTCAGATATTATTATTATTATTAAATTTTGTATGTTTTGGTTGTTTGTTTAAGCAGCGTCGGTAGATGGTATCCTTCTGAAGTCTTTATGTAGGATCCTTAAAAGTTAATCATGCTTTAGTCACATAGAAATCAATGGGAGCTTAAGCATAATTTTAATTCCATTGATTCCCATGGGGCTAACATGTCATTAGCATAGCCTGGATCTGACCCTAGGCATATTGACACCTAATAAACAGAATCCACTGAAAACCTGTGTAAGTCGTCATTTCTTGCGAAACTGAATTTTCCCCATTTTTAAAAAAGGTTTTAAAAAGCTTACGCCTCAAAGGTACAGTCCATACCAAAAAAAACCAAGGGTGTGTGCACAAACTTTTGAGTTCCACTGCGATAGACAGCACTAAATGCAGGGGAAGATGGGCTGGGTTGGAGAAGCAGGAGAGCCCAAGATGTGGCATTGTCAGGAGTGTAAGGTCGCCACATTACACAGAGCAACACATCTTGGCAGGGAGGGAGGAAAGGAAGGAAGGAAGGAAGGAAGGAAGGAAGGAAGGGAAGGAAGGAAGGAAGAAAGAAAGAAAGAAAGAAAGAAAGAAAGAAAGAAAGAAAGAAAGAAAGAAAGAAAGAAAGAAAGAAAGAAAGAAAGAAAGACATCAAAATTTGGACTTATGGCAAACCCCTTTCAGGGTTTTCTGGGCAGAGAAGAGTCAGAAGCCATTTTCCCTTCCCTTCTTCTGGGGGGTGCCCATGGACAACGGTGCAGCTGGCCCAAGGCCCCCCAGGCCGGCTCTTCTGAGATGCCCGTTGGGGAATTAAACTCCTCACTCCTGGCTCTGCAGTGAGATTCCTAAACCACTGAAAAGCAAAGAATAATTGTTCATTCCGGAAAGACAAGCCCCGGATGCATTCCAGAGAGCCGACCAGGATCTCACATCAGGGAGATACCGTCTAGAGCCGGTGAGAGTTGTATTCTAACAACGTTTGGTGCCCTAACCAGCTAAGAAAATTGGGGTTGAGGTCCAATTGTGAGCATAACAAAGAGAACTGAAATATTTCCAGTGCAATCTCTCCAGAGAGTATATAAATTTTCTTCCCCGGCGCTAGATTCTCCCTGTATTAAAATTCCACAGCATTTCAGATCTTCAGCAGAGGCCCTGTTAAATCGTCCCCCCCCCAAGTCCTGAGAAGCCAGACTGGTGAGTACATGAACCGGGGCTTTCTCGGTAGTGGTGCTTCACCTGTGGAACTCCCTCCCCAAGGAAGTTAGGCTGGTTCCCTCTCTGTTGAGCTTCCAGTGGACAGCTAAAATTAAGACTAGCAAACATGGTCTTTAGCTCTTAAGAACTGGTTTTAAAACGGACTCATCACATTGTTTTTTTTCCTCTGTTTAAAAAATGTGTTTCTGTATGTTACTGTATACCCCTGATGGACAAAAAAAAATGAGAGAAATAAATATTTTCAGTAAATAAATTAAAAGGTACATTTGTCTGTCACTTCTCTTCTCTGTACATTTGTTATTGCTTGGGAGGGAGGGCTGTTTATCTTCAGTACCATCTGCCAGATTTACATCGCACAGGCTTCTCTGTACATTTGTTATTGCTTGGGAGAGAGGGCTGTTTATCTTCAGTACCACCTGCCAGATTTACATTTATACCGTTTCCCCGAAAATAAGACTTAAACTCTTATACCGTTTCCCCGAAAATAAGACCTAAACTCAAAATGAGCCCTTGTAGGATTTTTCAGGATGCTCGTCATATAAGCCCTACCCCCAAAATAAGCCCCAGTGAAGAGAAACCCCCACCTTCCAACCTGGTGCAGTAACCAGAAGAAGGCATGATTATTTCAATAAATGTAGACTGTTGTACCTGGAAAAAAAAACTAAAACATCCCCTGAAAATAAGCCCTAATGCGTTTTTTGGAGCAAAAATTAATATAAGACCCTGTCTTATTTTCGGGTAGACACATTATTTCAGAATATTTCAACCTAAGAACTGCTTTAGTCCTTATCTGTATGAGAAACAACAAGCCAAAAGGGCATAAAAATAAACCACAGGGTCGGAGGAAAACAAACACACTGTACTGTCTTTCTTACCGCCCCATGGTAGCAGGACTTAGGGTTGTTCTCCAGAGGAGTGCATATATACGTAGAAGAGATGCTCAGAAATATTTCTCTAGACCCAAGAATTCAAATTATGGATGCCAGCTGTTGATAATATGACATCAGGAACACTTGCAAGATGCCGTGGGATCTACGAGATGAGAATCCGAACTCGGGAAGTTAATTTTCGACCATGTTGTCTGCAGAATTCTTGTAACAGTAGTCTAAAACAACGGACATTTCTAAGCTCTACTTAGAACAGTTTAAAAGAGAACTAGATAAGCTCATGGGAGAGGCAGACTGATCAGCGACTGCAAGGTAGGACAGCTAAATGGAACCTCCTGGTACAGGAGCAGTATATCTTAGAATACACAAGGCTGGTTTTTCAGTCTGTGAGCACCCCCACAGTGATTTCCAGCCACCAAAATGTGTTTGTTTTTTTAAAAATCCTTAATACGTATTTAAACCGACTTTTAAAAGTCAAGAATATCTTAAAAGAGATGAACTTACATCTCCCTTGTGGTTTGGCACAGAAACTACTGGATATTTTGTAAATGACACGCCCAGAGATACTACAACGTCTGTCCATCACACTATTCAAAATATATTTAAAGTAAGATAAAATATTATAAATTCTATTTTGCAACACACGGAGCTACAGTTTTCGTGTCTGACTGTTCTGTACACTGTAGGCGTAAAAGTGTGCAAATGTTTATGGAAAAATGGAATTGAAGATGAAATTAAATAGGTGAGTCATCTGAATTCCTAAGATTATTGGTGCTACATGACTGGGATATGCTACGGCCATCGTTAGACATTTCCAAGATTGCCAAAATACATGGGTATGGAAGTACGGTGCAATGCAGCACAAACTTAAGAGAAGGACCAAGTTGCACAAACTTTCCACCCATCCCACCAAAATCTCAGTATATGTGGTAGCAACAGCGATAATAGTTCTCCCTTGATCTGGCACAGGAATTCACCTGACCCTACCAGAGGGGGAGAGAAAAAGGTAGAATAACATCTTTATTAAACCACTAAAACGTCCAAAACAGATAAGTTTTCTAGTTCCGCAGGACTCCGGGCATTGTAGAGCAGATATTTCTGGGTGCAAACAAATCCGAAAATCATCCTGGCTAGATCCTGAGGCATCAGGATCTAGAGTTAAAATAAAAATAAAGTCCCAAAATGGAAGTTACAAACCTCCAGAACTAGCCTGAAGTTTCATGTTTCATCTCGGGGGATGGCAGAATTCGTTGCCTTTACCTCTGTAGATAAGTCAGCCTTCTTTGTTACCTTGCATTGAGGTATACACAGTTTCTGGCCGGCTGGGAGCAGAAGCATGCAGAAACATGGCAATCTCTGTTAACAGAAACGTCAGAGGGTAAATTTGGTTCGCACATTTAAAAACACAAATTCTCTTCCTTTGACAGTGAACCTCTCTCTACATAGATCAGTCCTTGTTACAAAGCGGTTTTTACACATTGGAACTTTACATTAAATTCATTTTCTTAATACGTTAAATTCTTAAATTCATCTTAAATTCCGTTTGATATAAGGGGGGCAAAAAGACACAGTGTACACTATATGGGGTGAGGGAATGGAATATACAGCTTAATGATACCAAGGGCTGAATGAAGTGAGAGGCTCCAGCTCCCAAATTTGGGAAGGAGGAATTAAAAGCAGACAATCCGCATTGCCTTCAAATCTATCCATTCCCGCACCTAATGGATTGATTTTCCTGTTTCTTAGTCGTGGACCTGGGGGCATAACGATTTCAAACTAGGTAGCCTTGACAATGCCAAAGACTTCTGGTTTCCATTTTGCATCTTAAGAATGGCAAGAACACCATAAATCAAGAACTACTTGCATAACATAGAGATCCAAAAGTAATTTAAAGGTTTGCATAAGGGCTGTTGTTCAGATCTACTTTCAGTCTAACAAGACTCTAGAAAATAAAGAGCTTTTCATCACACATTCCCACTTAAAAAGGGTGCATGATTTGCTCTTCCCCAGAGTGAGCAGTTTCAGACTCTTGAGTAAGCTAGAAGAGGGATCAAGTAGCATGCTTGGGATTCCCTCAAAAATCCCTCTCCTTTCTTTTAGATTACATTGGTGTTACACCACAGAAGCACAAATGGAGACACATACAGTAAGGCCCCCATGTCTGTGGGGGATTGGTTCCAAGCTCCCCCCCACACACATGGATGCTGAAAACTGCAGATAATAGCAAATGCTACACATCGCATGATAAAAGAAAAAAAATGCAGAATTTCTTTTTCGCCATGTATTACCAGAACTGGCCACAGAGGGAGCCAGAGACCATACTATGTTTTCTTCAACAACAATACGTAGCATGGCCTCCTGCTCCCTCTAGTGGCCAGTCCTGGTAAACACATTGTGAAAATATGTATTTCAAGTTTGTTTTTTAATATTTTCAGACTGTAGGAAGAAGCGCGGATACCAATCCCACAGATATAGGAGTCTTCTTGTATCCCCTCTTTTCCTCTTGGCCCCCATACACTTGAAAGTTCTAATTTTTGGCGGCTGAAGTCACACAACCATTTCTGAAAAGTCACCCTTTGGTCTGCATTGCAGGAAGCTCGATAATTCTGTTTACAAGCTTCCCAAAATCATATCTGGGAGTCAGGCCTCTCGATTTCCGATGCGGTAATGGCTGAAATCCAACTGGAGCAGGCCCGCTGAAGCACTGGGGAATCGGAGGCTCCATTTGGTAAGTGCCATTGATTCAATGGGCCTACTCGAGTGGGAACTTGGTACTGGATTTCCACCAATGTTCCCAGAGGCCAACAAGGAGCCACCAAAATGCAACCTTACTCAGCAACGACCTAAGAAAAACTCTACAAAACAACTTCCTTTCTGGATTCATCACTGAACATACATTTCCCCAAAACTTTTTGATATCTTCATGTCATATTGTTGAGAGAACAGGTTCTTAGGGTGCCACCCTATACATGTCTGCTCAGAAGGACGTCCTGCTGAGTTCAGTGGGGTCAATTCCAAGTGATCAGGAAGAAGGCAGAAGCTCTCATATGCCTCCGTTTTCAAGGTTCAGGTCGTCCATCTATTGTCCCCAGCACATCTGGATCAGGAAGATGACCGTCTCCATCAGAACATCCTTTCCTTTTCACTCATCATGCTGGCAATGTAGGCACAGAGCGCTTCCCGGACCCTCTCGGACCTGGCCGCCGGTTTAATGCGGACGTCGGGCCGCTGGAGGGGCTGTTCGAAAGTAGCAGCCAGCTGTTTAGCTTCTGCCTCCCATGTTTTTTCATAGGCCTCCCCTTTCTCCTCACAGATGTTGTGTAAGACGCAGCAGGCCGAGATCAGGCGCGGGAGGTTTTCCACGGCACAGTCGTTACGGCCCGTCAGACATCGCCACCGGCCCTTCAGCCGGCTGAACGCCTCCTCCAGAGGCTCCTGGCACCGGTTCAAAGTGGCGTTGAAGGCCTCCTTAGCGTCATCCAGATCCTCCGTGTAAGGGACCATCAGCCACGGAAGAAGAGGGTAAGCCGGTCCTCCCAAAATAACTCTAGGTACCGAGACCCCGTCGATCTCTATGGGGCCCAGCGCAAAGAGGGTCCCTTCCTGGCCTTTGGTGAACAAGGTGGACTTGTTGAAGATCTTGGCTTCGTGGGTTTTTCCTGGCCAGCCGGCGCTCAGGTGGGTGAACATGCCCCGGTGGTCCACCAGAGCCTGCAACGCCATGGAATAATACCCTTTGCTGTTGACGTACTCAGCGGCTTGGTGAGGGGGGCACAAGATGGGCATGTGGGTGGTGCCCACCACGCCTGCACAGTTGGGGAAGCCCATCGCCTCGAACCCGTGGACGATTTCCTCCAGGTTGCTGCCCACTGTGACGGTGGAGCGCATCAGCACTCTCTGGATGGCCCGGCAGACTTCCAGGACCACCGAGCCGGCCGTGGACCGGCCCACGCCAAACTGGTTGCCCACGTCCCGGTAGCAGACGGAGGTGGCCAGCTTCCAGAGGGCGATGGCCACCCGCTTCTCCACGCTCAGAGGGATCCTCATCCGTGTCTTCTGGCGCTGCAAAGCCGGAGAGAGCCGGGCGCAGAGTTCCAAGAACGTGGCCTTCCGCATGCGGAAATTCTGCAGCCACTGGGCGTCGTCCCACGTCTCCAGCACCGTCCGATCCCACCACTCGGTGCTCCTTGGCCGGGCCCAGAAGCGCCTCTCCACCGAACGCAGGCGTCCGCCACGACGAAGGCCTGCGCTGGACGCCTGCCGGGCGAGTAAGGCCTCCTCCTCTTCCTCCTCCTCCTCCCCGTCGTCGTCTTCGGAGCCTTCTTCCTCTTCCTCGCAACCTCGCCGGCCCAGGGAGTGCAGAAAGGCCCACCGCCGGCGGGATGCGGCGGCTGCCGAGGCCTCCCCCGTGGCCCTCAGGTACTCCATCATCAGCGCGCCGGACTGAACCACGCACAGGATAGCCGCTTCTTTTTGGGTGCCCTGCATTCTGAAAAGGAGGACTGGGGAGGGGGGGGAAAGAGCGAGAAAGGGAGAATGAGGATCTTCAGCTGAGGAAGCCACAGAAATTTTGGGGGGCAGCTCCCGAAGACCGAACGGGCAGGATAAAAAAGACAACGGAAATGTTTCCTAGCAAAAATCATTCCAGGATGAGCAACCTTTTATAGAGTGAATGTGAAAAGCTGGATTATAGCTCGGTTGGGCCACCAAAACACTTTTTAAAAAAATGCAAGTATGAAGGACTCAACAGCTAATGGATGTTTGAACGCTTTTTTTCCAATTGGCTAGTTGTGCTCTGTTGCGTTTAAGTGTTTTGAACTGATTTTGTTTACCGTATTTCATATCATATTTGTTTCAATTTGCAAAATGTTTGTATACTTAATGTTTTTAGCTTTTAAATACTGTACTGTATTATCCTTTTCATGATGTCAGCTGCCTCGGGTCCTTTTAAGGAGAAAGGTGGGGTAAAAAAATATTTTGAATCTCTAAATAATAATGAATAAGCTGCTTCTTGACATCCCACTCGTTCAATAAAGGTACGCTTTCTAAGCGTTATTGATGGAACATACCACTGTATTTTTCAGAGGGCTTGCCGTCCGTGTGAGTCGGTGCTATGCCGATCAACGTGAAATGCAAAACAAAACAAAATAAAATAAAGAAGACAAATACATTATGGCGCCTTAAAGATTAACCACTATTTTTAATGTGAGCATTTATGGAACACCTCCACTTTCATATCTGAAGGACTTGTATATCCCAAAAGCTCTCTTCCTCGCAACCTCGCCGGCCCAGGGAGTGCAGAAAGGCCCACCGCCGGCGGGATGCGGCGGCTGCCGAGGCCTCCCCCGTGGCCCTCAGGTACTCCATCATCAGCGCGCCGGACTGAACCACGCACAGGATAGCCGCTTCTTTTTGGGTGCCCTGCATTCTGAAAAGGAGGACTGGGGAGGGGGGGGAAAGAGCGAGAAAGGGAGAATGAGGATCTTCAGCTGAGGAAGCCACAGAAATTTTGGGGGGCAGCTCCCGAAGACCGAACGGGCAGGATAAAAAAGACAACGGAAATGTTTCCTAGCAAAAATCATTCCAGGATGAGCAACCTTTTATAGAGTGAATGTGAAAAGCTGGATTATAGCTCGGTTGGGCCACCAAAACACTTTTTAAAAAAATGCAAGTATGAAGGACTCAACAGCTAATGGATGTTTGAACGCTTTTTTTCCAATTGGCTAGTTGTGCTCTGTTGCGTTTAAGTGTTTTGAACTGATTTTGTTTACCGTATTTCATATCATATTTGTTTCAATTTGCAAAATGTTTGTATACTTAATGTTTTTAGCTTTTACGTATTTTCCTTTTAACAATGTCAGCTGCCTCGGGTCCTTTTAAGGAGAAAGGTGGGGTAAAAAAAATATTTTGAATCTCTAAATAATAATGAATAAGCTGCTTCTTGACATCCCACTCGTTCAATAAAGGTACGCTTTCTAAGCGTTATTGATGGAACATACCACTGTATTTTTCAGAGGGCTTGCCGTCCGTGTGAGTCGGTGCTATGCCGATCAACGTGAAATGCAAAACAAAACAAAATAAAATAAAGAAGACAAATACATTATGGCGCCTTAAAGATTAACCACTATTTTTAATGTGAGCATTTATGGAACACCTCCACTTTCATATCTGAAGGACTTGTATATCCCAAAAGCTCACATTAAAAAAACAGAGGCTAAGTCTCTAAGGAGCCATGACAGCTGTATTTTCCTTTTTCACTTGAAAAATGGAAATGGATTGTCATCAGCACGAGGTATTTTGAAAAGCGGATCCTGTTTGGGCTGGGGGACCCCTTGCCCCACCCACAAAGAAAGGAGGCAAGGAAACAAAATTAAAACACTTTTAATTAAGCCATGCCCCCCTAAGACACCACCCTGTGGAAGTGACAGGCGATAAGCCAGCGTAGCTGAGGCTGCTGGGAGTTGAAGTCTGACAGATCAAGAGGGTGTTAAGCAGGGGAAGACAGACGTCTAGTCCAGTGGTTCTCAAACTGAGGTCCCCAGATGTTTTGTGGACTGCTGTGCCGGCCAGGATGGAACATCTGGGAGTGGCAGACCAAGAACATCTGGGGAGTCCAGTTTGAGAACCACTGGAATTCCAGACAAGAGGGAGCTTCCAGAATGGCCGTTTCCCCCTCTGCATCACAAACCTGCTCCCTTCTAAAGGCACAGCCCCCCCCAAAAAAAAACTCTTCCCACCTCTGGTCCAGCAAAGTAACAGGTAGGGTCATAGCGCTCATCCTAGTTGTTTTAACTCCCCAATCTGTCACTGTTGTGTTTGGAATCGAAAAGCACACCCCTCTCTCCTTCTGGGATGAGCGGATCACCCTCCAATCCCTGGTTGGTTCTGCCCTCCCCTTGATGCCTTATCGCCTATATATGATCTCAGCCTTGCAACTTGGCTCACTTGCGCGAGCAACCCAGAACCCTCCTAGTGTTTTTTTTGTTTTTTTGTGGGTTTTTTTTTCTTTTGGCACCTTTGAACCCTGAATTCAGGCCACGCCAGCTGAAGCTTGGGGGGGTGTCTCTCTCAGGCATTGCTCCACTGAGGGACCCCCCTCCCCCTTTGAGTCCTGCCCCTTGGGCTTGTTTGCATGGGGTTCTATTCTGACACACGCACACACACACACACACACACACACATAAACAAAACCGCGCTGGCCTTCCTTACAGGAGTGCTGTGAGGTGCATTTCCCCTTTGGAGAATCCTCAGGGTCGTACCATATTCTGTTGAAATTGCAAATAAAAAAAAAATCATCCTTTCTTCTCTTCCTCTTCTCGTTTCTGTCTTTGCAACCTGATTCCTCGCCCAAGTAAACAG